TTTAACCTTTAGTTGGTAAAACACTGAAACATTGATTTTCTATTATGCTGAGACATCCAATAGAGCCAATCGAGGGCTTTCGAAGAATTCAAATCAAAATATTCTGCGGTGTATTTTAATTCTTGATTTCCTAGCTCATCTATATTAAGCGATATGATTTTGCCTACTGAATTTTTGTTATTCTTGGTCAAATTTATCATTTAATGAGTTAATTATTCGGTATAAAAGCGGATAAAATACACAGAGTTTTTTTTTTCGCTAACTGTAAATGCATTTCCTGCATTATTATTTAATCTTGTACAACCTTTAGGTTTTCTCGGAGTAGGAATGTCAATTTGAAACTTATCACAAGTGTCTTTTACTTTAAAATAAATATTATCAAAAATAGATGATTTGATCCTTAGTTCTTCCAAAGCAAACGCTAATTTGAAGCATCTGCTATAACTTAACAAATATCTATGTCTGGAGATTAAAGCAATTTGCTAACTTTGACAACCATTTGAAGAATTAGATAAATTATTTTCAAACACATAATAAAATCAAGAGGATACTACATCAAATTTGATGTGGTATCTTTTTACCGTTAGATCTAGCTTTTGCATCAGTTGCGTCATCAACTGTCTCCTCAATGGCTTCTATAATTGTTGATCTTTAACTGGAACAACTTCCTGAGCACGGCAAGCCTAACGTATTTCAGATAAAGATTTTTACTTTATTTGTCACTTTATTTGTGACCTACACAATCTTTTCAAAAGCTTTGGATTTTCAATATGATTATACATTCTCACACGAAACATTCATATCATGCAAAGTAGAATTTATTTTTTCAAAAATGGTTTCTGCATCAGTTAAATTTAAACGTTTCAATGTTACTAGCCTTACAACTGGAAACGAACTACCTTTAGAGATATATCTAAAAACAATAGCAATCTGCTCGTGGCGAGTGACATCGCAAGTCTCGTCTACAATCACATAAAGAGGCTGCCCTTTTATTTCCTTCTGAATATCCCTTACATTTTTGATAGAATGTAAAACATAATTTTAAGTGTAGTTGCTAAGATAAGTGCAGTTTTTTTAGGCCGATTTTAGGTGTGCCTTAAATGTAAGGTCATAGTTTTTAAGAAGTTGTACAATTTCGGGAAACTATCCTTTTTCAGTCCTTTGTTACGTTTCATCATGACCCTGAAAAGGTTTTCCATCTTTTACTAGAACTATTATTATATCTATGATATTATATCTATTATATCATATAATCTAAATATTTTTGTCGTTGCTTGTCTCTTGATTTCAGCCTCTTTTTTCTCTTGGATATAAAGTTCTACGGGCTAATTCACGTCAAGAACGACAGACTTCTCATGTTTTTCCCTTTGCCAGTTATTTTGGTTGAAAACTGTTCTAGTTTTGGTTAGTACCGATCGCTTACTATTCTAGAAGATCTTTCTAATCTTTTTTTTGGTAATTTTAAGCAAGGTTATCGGGTACAGTATTATGCTTTCCTGTCATGTTTGAATGATGTTTCCTATCCTTTTTTTAACTTATATACCCCTATCTAACAGAGATATCTGATTCTAAAACACTAAACCATAAATAAAACCACAATAAAAACATTTAAAATTGTAAATATTCGAGATGGTCGATTAAGTATTAAGTTAATTTCAGTAATCAGAAGATAATATTTACCTTATTTACAATTTTAACTGATTTATTACACAAGTTTTACTTTTTAGTTTAATCAAAATGTTTACAGATTAGTTATCTCAAGAAGTGACCGATTCCAATTTTTGCGTCCATCGAATCGTATCTACGAAACTGGTACAGCTTGTGTCCGACTTCATAAAGATACAAGAGTTCCAAATAGAACGTGGAATTCGAGGAAGATCCCCTACACGATGGACTGACGATCTCAAGAACATGTCAAGAAATTGGATGAAAAGTGCTCAAGACAGAGCACAATGGACAACAATTAGGGAGGCCTATGTCCAGCAGTGGACGCAAAGGGCTGGGTGATGATGTAGTATCTTTAATGGGATTTACAGTCACAACACAATTTCAGTTGAACATACCTTTATTTTGATGTTTCAATTTCCACTTTTTCTATTATTTTGAGAAAGATTTCTGAAGTGGAATCCATGATGGTTAATCAACCTTATTAAAGGTGGCGCATAGGAGAAGAAAAAAATATTTTAAACTACTGGCACAAAATGAGGACCACGATATACACCAAAACAAGAAAACCGCATACGTGTAGCCCAAAAAGACCCACGATGGTCGCTAACCTTAGTAGAGGTGGCACATAGGAGGAGGACAAGAAAATACTGAAGAAGAATTGTATCAAACATATAATAAACAGAAGCAAATTAGAAGAATTCTAACATTGAAAAATAAAGAAATATTTTTAATTGTGTCTATTTAATGCCAGCAATCATTATCTCAAAGTAAAATATCTAAAACTAGAACAAAACAAAAAATCTAGAATGATACACATATTTGAAGATAACGTTACTATTTACTTCTTCTATTTTCTTTGATGTCTTGAGTTTCTCCCAACATTTTGAAACTCGTTCTCCTCTACTAATCATAGATATGTTGCAGGTGCGTTCGATAGTAAGTATAGAGTTCTTAGTAATATTATTTTTTTATTTAGATTAATGTGTCAATAACTGAGATTATGACACATTTACAATAAGTGGTGGTAACAATATATACCGAGTGTTTCGTTTCTACCTTCGAAAGCTTCTCACATACGTCGTGTTTTCCGCGTAGTGTTTACCAACAGTTAATAGTTTATAGCAATTAGTGAAAAAGTTGAGTTTTGGACACAGGTTTATTGTATAGACCATGGCAGGTAACGAGAGTGACCTGGATCACCCTCGATTAATATAAATCCTGATAATCACATTGATGCTCGTTCAATGGATACAATATAAGTTTGATAAAAAATATCAACCAACTGAAAAACCTCGATCGTCGTTTTCCCATTAGAATTGGATTTTATTTACAATTAAATTTAGACAAGATGTTATTGATATTTATTTTATACGTTTAAAACGTGTTAAGGTCGTTTTTCGAACATATAAAATGGCTTATTTATTAAATTATGATAAAATACTTCAAATAAATACATTTTCACTGAGTAGTACATAAATCAGGCAATTAATTCTATAGTTCCAATGGCAGAGGTGCGAAGAATGAAACGAAATTTTATAGGTAATAAAATTCCGCCCTCCATTCTCTGTAGAACCCACATCAACCCAGTTGTACAGTGCACAAAATGTTATGAGTTATGGTCATCATAATCATCTTTGGCTCGACAATCCTCTGTGAATCTTGGCCTGCTCTAAGATTCGTCGGCATTCTGTTCGGTTTCTGGCAACATGTTGCCATCTTCTAATTTTTAATACCCGTAAGTCGGTTTCAACTCCATCTAACCACCTAATTCGCGGTCGGCCTTTGCTTCTTCTTCCTACAGGTGTTCCTGTGGTTAGCTTTTTGGCAATCGTATTATGTGTTCAGCCCATCTAAGTCGCTGTGTTTTAATGAACGTTATTACATCTGGCTCATCAAAGAGCCGGTACAATTCAAAATTACATCTTCTGCGCCACTGCCCTTGGTCGTTTATAGCTCCTTAATATTTTACGCTCAAATATTCACAAAAGTCTTTCATCTTTCTGCGTTCGAGTGCATGTTTCTGCTCCATATGTGAGGACCGGCCTCAGCAATGTTTGTATATAATAATTTTAGTTCTTTGAATGTTCTTGAGTGGAAATGCTTTTGGAGTCCATAGTATGCCCTATTTGTAAGATGTATTCGTCTTGTGATTTCTTCGCTTGTTTTATTGGTAGCAGTCAATAGCGACTCAAGGTATGAGAAGTTGTCAACACGTCCAAAGGCATGACTTCCAAATACTGTTTCTCCTCATTTGCTAATCGGATCCTTTGTAACTAACATGTACTTGGTTTTATCTTCCTTGATGACTAGACCGACCTGTTTCCAATTCTAGGAGATATTGCTCAACATCTCGCATGCTACGCCCTATTATGTCAATGTCATCAGCATATGCTAAGACTTGAGTTATGGTCACAATATCTTATTAAGGCTAAGATAGCCTTTAAAATATAATAATGTGCCTTCTAGTAAAACTTAAGAAACAACCTGGCTACCTTCGTCCTACCGACTTGTTATTATTATCGTGTATTACAAAAACTTTCGAAATGCTATAATTGCCCTTCAGGCAAATACACTGTCCCTATTCTAAACAAATTTACTTAGGTATAATTCTAAATAAAAAACTTCTAAGGACCAGTCACATTAGGTATGTCAAAACATAGATGTAAAAATGTTCTGCGCTTCCTCTCCAAACAGAGCTGGGTTACCAACCAACAAATTTCCTTAATGTTGTTCCCTCGTGTCATTTTGGCAGAGTCCCAATAACTTTCTTAGTTTTTGAAGACAGTTTATAAGAATATATATATGTTTAACAGTGATTTCATGGCAAACATTAACTTGTAAATTGAAAAGAACTCTCCTTTGGCAGATGCATTTATTGATATGAATTTATGTACTTCAAACCGATAATGTATGCACAAAATTTCTATTCTATAATTGACAAACCTACCACTACCTCAGTATTCAGATTGTAATATCCGCTGCAGCATAGATCTAGATTTTCTCTATTGTGGGCAAATGTCCACCCATCAATGCTACTTATACCTATAGTCGGGTTTCTAAGGTGTCCCTAATTTGATTAGGATGTTATAGCGTGTCTTACCATTACATTACAATTTCATTAAGCTATTAAAACAGGTTTTATGCTAGGCTTAGCAATCACCCAAAATACCAGGCAGTCAGAGGCTTTTTCGCAATCATTAATGATTAAGACGTAAGTTTCATTTTAGTGAATATTTTTTATTATACTTCCTTTTTTAAATTCCTCTTTCCTTTAGTAAATTCTGATTATTTTGGTTGGGAACTGGTACAAGGAATAAATAAGAACAACTTTTATTGAAAATTTTATTATTTTTTTATTATTCCTATCAGATATAAAAAACAAACATTGCTTTCTATTTCCTTCTCCCTAAAATAACACAGAGCAATCTGATCAAGGATGAAACCTCAAGTCCATTTAATGAACACACAAATTTAAATATTAACATTAAAAATACAATGAAGTACAACTAAGAAGTAGTTAATATATTTGTTGTAAATATGGTACACCAGTTTTGACACAAGCTGTGTCAAATGTAGTTAACAATTTTATAGAAAAAACTGTTACTGGAAGTGGTTTGGGGGGCGTAAAGTATAGTAGGCGAAATTATAAATTGTGTATGTACTAACGGAAACCATCTAATATATCATTTTTATAGTAAAATCACAGTTTATCATTGTACTTCTAAATGTAACAAATAATATATTAGAGGGTATGTATTGGCTGTCATAATACTGCAGATAATTTCACCTACAATGAAATGGACCATATTTTTAGCTGAACACTTGTTTAAACATTAATAAAGCTAAGGAATTATAAAACGTGCCACGATCAACAGCAAGATTCCTAACAGATAATCAAAGTTACTATAAACATACTCAACAAACTAGTGGCTGCTCTTGTGCCAAAAAATTGTATTTACTTTAATCGTGGCACACCTTAGCTGTTTTATGATCGATGATCCATTGTTCTATACCCTCATAAACCCATGTCTGTCTTTAAATCAACAAATTCTATACAAAGAATATCCATCTTAAAAATATTGTCCACTTTGAACATACTATAAACAAATCATGGGAATGATTGTGCCGAAATAACGCATTTCCAGCGATCATTCCCAAAACTTTGGTATAGTGAAAACAAAAATACATTCTGCTCTGCAAATACCGTAGGGGGAACAATTTCTTTTGTTTTTTGTTTAATGAAGAGAGTACATTACACTAAAAGTGATACAACTTAAAAGAACAGTTTTTTATAAATAAATAACTGGAGGATACAGATACTACAAAATATAAAAGAAAAATTGAAATTGCAAATGACTTTGATCAAAGATTTGAATTTATTATTTTAACGAATATTAATGGATTGTCAAAATTCACCCTTGGAAAAACAATTCCTGCAAAAAACGAACGGTAGTCTTTTTAACTATATTAAAATTATGGCAAAATCAACGTTGTTTACGCTTTTTGTTATATTAATCCAAGTGAGTGAAAGTTTCAATCCTTTACAAAGAAACCTGAACTTCATTGCCCAGCCCCGTTAATAATACATTTATTGTGTGTCAATTTTATTGTCTCAACTTTTGCTACAAAAGTATTAAAAATCAAACGAATTCGTTAATCCACTACAAACAGAACTGATGTCAATTTGCAACCCCAACCGAAAATTTTTTGTTTACAACTACAGGGCCTCCGAAAGAGCTAACACCAACTGAATTATAACGAAGCCCCATTCGGGAACACCCTTTGCACTATCCTTTGAATAACGACAGTGCCGAGGAAGAAAATTCCAAGTCGAATCATAAAAAATACACTACACACATTCTTGTATCATTTCGTTAAAAAAATAAAATGGAAATTGTTGGATGAAATGTATTTTAGGACATTTGCTCACAGCAAAATTAACCCGTCTGAAGTTCAGTCGTTAATGAATGTTAAAATACAAGTCAGTGGTCTAGTTGCTTTTTACAAATTACAAAAAAGTATCCGTTTATTATAATGTAAGCTAATGCCCTTGAGGATATGACAGATTAAAAAAATAAAAAAATATTAATGAAAGGCGGATCTGTCGGTCACTCACACACTGTCAGTTTTTGTAAGTACACACATTGTCGTTTCGGGTAAAAAATAAAAATGAGAACTTGATTAATACACTTGCTAACATGTATATTTACAATAGAGGAATGAGAAGGCGACTTAAAACGATAGAGGTTATCTTACACGGTTTACTCGTCTTCATCATCATCTACCTCTTCATCTTCATCTTCTACGTCTTCCTCAGGTACTGGGTGTCCCACTTGTTGCAAGGCAGGATTATTCTTCTTTTTATATGCAGTCATTTCCTAGAAAAGAGAACGTAAGTTAAACATTTCGTATTTAAACAAAAATTTAGTATAGTCCAATTGGGTTGGATGTAGTGAAACTTATGCTTTTATATAGATTTTGATCCAGTTAAAAGTTATAAGATAAAAGTTAGAACGAAAAATCGATGTTAAATATGTTTTTAACGTTTTATCTTAAATATCTCAAATTATTAAATTTATTGACAGAAATTTATAAGTTTATGACAAAAAGTAAAATTTATGAAGTTTGCAATCAAATTTTCATCAAAATTTGGCTATGTGATTGAAAAAAAAAATTAATAATGAATTCAAAGTAAAAGTTGTCGCGAAAAATTTTCTTTTAGTAATTCCCAAAACTCAGTCCAGGGGTAGCACCAATTGATGACAAAATGAGAGTGCTTAGGCTAAGCTGGTTCAGGAATTACAAAGCCGAGACACTAATTACCCAATATAAAAAATTGCTGATTTGTAAGTTGCTGGGTGGAGTAAGAAAGGAAGACCATAACTAGGGAAGGGTGTTTAGGCTGGCCATAACAAGGAAGCCGACCCCGCATGGGGATAAAGACAAAGGAAATGATGATCATGACAAAATGAGAGTGCTTAGGCTAAGCTGGTTCAGGAATTACAAAGCCGAGACACTAATTACCCAATATAAAAAATTGCTGATTTGTAAGTTGCTGGGAGGAGTAAGAAAGGAAGACCATAACTAGGGAAGGGTGTTTAGGCTGGCCATAACAAGGAAGCCGACCCCGCATGGGGATAAAGACAAAGGGAATGATGATCAGTGTGACCAAAACTTTACATATTTTATCAAGACCTCTGGAGTCTTCACATTTTACATCTTTTTTGTATATTGGGTATAGGATAGCTTCTTTCCACTGTTTGGACATTTGTTTGTTCCATACTTTTTATATGAACTGTGTCCCGTTTTCAGGGGGTGTGTTTTTAGTAAATTTAACTGGAGACATTTTGATTCAATGTTCAACGAGACCTTTATTCATCAACTATGCCTTGTCTCAATGTACTGCATTCAGCTGAATAACCATGTGGCAAGTAAAAGATTTGTTTAATAATTAACCCATACTTATTTCTTGGTTCTTAAGATTTAAACTTTTTTAGATTAAAGGTCAACATTTCAACATCCAAACGAATCTGACGATGGTATAGATCGGATCGTGTTTTTAAATCACTATTATGCTACGAGCTGGATGACAAATAATACAGTATTGCGAAGCTATCAACAAAGGTAGATACTTTTGGGAAAGATTTCATATATCAATTCTTTTAATATTGTTTTTATAACTTCTAGAAAGTATAAACGCCTAATTCAGGCTTGTTTTCTCAAATTATTCAGAAGAAACACATTTTTTATAAAAACATGAAAAATTTAAAAAATCATCATCTACATATCGAGCTTCCTAAATGAACATTTATTGAAAGAATAGAAGTCTATTTACAAAAAAGAAATTTAATAAATGGTTATAAATTACTTACTTTTTCATATCTGGCTTTGTCTTTATCTGCCAAAGCCTCATATTTGCCCTTGGTTTCTTGATCGGCTTCGGCCCACCTTCTACCCAATTCTTTGGCAATGTCTCCAACACCATATTCAGGATTTTGAGCCTTAACTTTACCGCGTTCATCATTGCTGAACCAGAAGAAAGCAGATCTGGAAAATAAACATTTGCATTGGACAATTTGGTCATATAAAAGAAAATTGCGATTTATAATTTTAGTAGGAAATGTAGGAATGGATGTCTTGTTTAATCGTTGAAAAAATATTGAACATTTTGAACATTCCACTTCTTTTTTTTCTAGCACAGGATTATAATCAAACACCTATTTACAAAAGTTGCCGATTGATCAAACTGTGCAATCTTTAGATGGCAACCTTTTATTCTAACTAAAGATTAGTAACATTTTTGAAAATTACACACGTGACATTAAAAATTTTGCGATATTTTCTTGATAGTGTATCAATTATATCTACAGTTAGAATAATAGAACTCTATTTATTATGGGACCACTTCTACACGATCTTTACTTGCAAAAGATCCAGCAGAAGTTAAGAAATGAAAAACCCAAGCAAGCACGTTAAACGTTTATATAAATATCTAAAAATATGTACTTACAAAGACCGTTTGGGTGCGTTGGGATCTTTTATTTGCTTCCTCTTTTTGCCGCGTTGCTTCTCTCCCTTGGGAGGAGTGTAGCTCTGCATTTCAGTGTCGTAACGTTTCTTGTCGTTTTCGGCCATTTCGTGGAAACGTTTCTTTTCCTTGTCCAACATGGTCTGCAATAAATAATGCTATGAGTACATCGTTGAATATAAATCAAATAAAGTTGACATCAAAATAAGAACTTTAGGAATATGATTAACCTTGACAAATTTAGATGAATCCTGTTTCTTTTTTACGGAGCTTTTTAACAATAAAAATAAAGAAATTTATGTATAAAAAGTAACTGAGACTATCCAGAATTCCAAAGGATCAGACAAAGCAACAGGCATCAGACCAACAAGATGACCCTTTAAAAGAAGACAGCTTTAAGATCAAACAAGAACAGCCCTATGGCATAATGGAAGAAAATAATTAAACCATTTAAGTAACCTTTGTACCTGCCAGTACAAACTTAATAAGAAGTATTAATATTAGAGAATGATAGAAGACGAAAGTTAACAAAAAAATAGTTTCTAAACCAAGAAAACCAATAACGCTCAAAATGGATCTCCTTTGAATTAGATGGCAGAAGTACTGAAAAGACGACTGAAAAACTTTAGCACCTACACTATTTTAATAGAGGAAATTTAGGTGAAGATACAGATCCTATACAACTCAAAACAGGAGGAAACTGAGCCTTTAGCCAGCAGTAAATCACTTGGATCAGGCAACATACCTATCAAAATAAAAAGCATTTATTTTTAATGTGTCTTGGATTATTTAAGTTAAATGGGTTGTTGCGAAAGCAAATCGACCCTGTAACTGAATTGAGTATTCGTAGAACCTATACAACAAATTTGAGAAAAAGTTATTTACAACTTGATCAATTTTCGAGGAAGCGATTGTTTTGAGAAATGTATATTATAAAGGGTTCCAATGAGTTTTAAACGCATCTCAGTATCACAGTAGCCGACGTAGTCTTGAGTTAATAACGATGGAAAATTTTCTAAAATCGGTTGAAATTGTAACGTTACTGGGAAGTGGATTAAGTCAAAGACAAGCTGCAAGACAATTGAATGTTAGTCATTCGACTGTACAAAGGACCCAACAACGATTTATTGTGACAGAATCTCACCAACTACGACCTGGTACGGGTCCAAAAAGGAAAACAACCGCTAGGGAGATCGCGTCGTCATTCTTGCTGCATTACGGAATCGGACCCAAACCGCTAGAATACTTCAAGGCCATTTACAGCAAGCTCAAGGACGAGCAAGGTTTGACAGCTTGCAGTCCAGCAACGGGGCCCTTACTTTCCCCAGCTCATAAAAGACAGACTCGATTTTGCCCGTAAGCACATCAATTGGACAGCAGACGATTGGAAAAAAGTATTGTTTACGGATGAGTGTAGAATGTCTATTTACGGTAGACGGACACAGTAAGGTGTACAGATGGACTGGAGAACGTTTCGCTGGTTGCTGGTTGCACGGGCTGCTTTTGGTGGTGGTTCAGTAATGTTTTGGGCAGGGATTTCTTTTGATGCGCATACGGATCTCGTCGTGATTGACAGAGGTGCGTGAATAGCAGTAAGGTACATAACGGAAATCTTACAACATCATGTGATGCCGAATGTTGGATTTATTGGCAACGAATTCCTAATAATGCAGAATAATGCGAGACCACACACGGCAAGGATAGTTAGTAACGGAGTACCTTAACGAGGTTGGTATTTCAAAAATAGACTGGCCTGTTCAAAGTCCCGATTTAAATCCTATTGAGCATATATGGAGCCTGCTAAAAAGTCGTGTTAGGCAACAACACCAAAAAGATATCCAAAACGTTATAAATTCCATGCCAAATCGAATGAGGTGGAATCAAGAATCAAGGTGGCAATACCCATTACTGAAAAGAGATACCAGCTTTTTTTTTAATATACCTATTTTCCTTAAATTTTTTATTTTCGATTGATGTTTTACGATAATGATGAAATTTTGTACTAAACCAGTTATTGATTCAATATACAAAAAAATAAATGCTTAATTTTGTAGCAATAAATAATAATTTCGAAAATATTTTAAATATTTGGGGTGGCCTGTTTTCTTTGACGCGGAGTGTATATATCCCCTTGAGTATATAATTATATTATTTCTTGAGTATCTTATTTGTTTGCTCTTTTTAAATAGGCCACTCTTAATCCTTAATTCTATTGCTCAGGAATACTGGACTAAATTCAGATTCGAGAAGATGTATTCCTATATCGGTTCCTTCTCAGAGACTATTTTACCAAAGATACAAACTTATAACTGTTCTGTGTTTAATTGTATTCCTGACTTTATCGAATGACAAGTGGAATTATTTGATATTAGAATATATTGCCTATAACGATATTTTTGTTACGTCAAATACAACCCAATCTACGCTATGTATTTCCTTTTAAAACTTTTAAAATCTAAAGTATTAGCGTAGAACTAATACATATATGGAGCAGATCCTAGATGTGAACATCAATAGATTATAACGAATCGGAACTACAGTGATAATCTAAACAGACCATTAAAATAGGTAAGTGGAAAAGTATTTTAAAAATTTCGTAACTTTTCAAGGACTTGAGATATAATTAAAATAATACGGAATCCGACTTCGTAAAATATTTTGAAGAATGTAATGATCCAGCTATATTTTTTCAGGCATAAGTGCACGTTAGCAATAAATAAGTTCTAAACATTTTACGACCTATTTCGCCGGCCCGGCCGGCAACCCAACCAAACGGTCAGCCGATTCACCACCGCCACGAGGTTGATCTATATCTTGTGTCTTGTTCGTTCTTCCAAGAAGGCGAAGGTAAACGAGTTTCTTTGGCCCTGAGCAGATGTGTCGTGTCGGGGCATTCTAATTTTTCGAAAATATATATTGAGAAATTTAAATAGACCCGTCTTCTAACACTGACGGTATTTTTACAAAAAACATTGTACATTAAATAATTTTGAGTCATGTAAGAATGAAATATAAAATACGATCTTTACGTTTTGATAACTTATCATTTAATGGAGAATTAGTACAGAAAAAAACGCGTTGAAATAGCTTTTTTGTAAAAATATAAACAATTTAGAAAAAAAAACATATTGCCTTACAAAAGAGATTTGCGAAAAGAAATACCAAACACGACTTTAAACCAATGCAGTTTAAAAATACCGCGACCAGACAGAAAATGATAGCTCCTCTTCAAACATGCTCTTACATTTTAACCGTTGAACATGAAATGCCCAACAACTTGATCTTATTCCTCTGTCCCTTTTATAAATGAGCTTATACTCGAAAGAATGATTTAAATAAGCAAAGCGGAAATTCACACGCATAGTTTACCGTTACGAAAGCTTTATCAAAGTGACGAAATACACTTCCAGTTAAATTTTGTGGGATTTCGGGTTAGCTGCTTTTCCGTTCGGCCCTTCATATCTTTTTTTATATAAAATGGGAGCACCGTATAAAATTGTTATCTGAAAAAATGTCAACAGGAAGTATCGAAGTAGAAAAACCCATCGACTGTATAATTCAATTACGTAACATTCAACGAAAAAAAAGTTGAAGAGTGCTCAGACTACAAGAACGAACCTTGAAAATGCTTTTTTTGCACAACATGCCGTCACGAGCGAAACAATATCGATGTATTAGACGGCAAAATTTTGATATTTAGTTATAGATTACAAACAAATTTGTACAGTTCTTTAACGTTTATACTATGTATATGCAAATTCATTATGAGTTACTTTACAAATTCGACCGTCACCTAAACTAGCATTTGAAATGGAGAGTAAAAAATGGTTGAATTGTTTATGATAGATTCGTCTTTAGCAAACCAATATTCTTTGGTTTGGTATTCAAAAAAAAAAAAAAACTAACCATATAATCAGTGATGAGTACGAAAACCGTACCAAAGGAAGACCAACAGGAACGAATAGCCATACTAATGCTAATCAAATTGAGGTGTAGTTTCAAAATAAATGTTGCTACCAATATGGAACAGTACAAGTAAAAACAATTTATTTACGATCTTACTGAATATTAGTCATACTTCTAAGACGTTTCTATTTTTACTTTGGACCCCCGGAATACTTTTTTACTTTCTTTAGGAAACTTACAACCGTTTTTCGCAACGCAGGACCAAATTTCAACTTAATCCGAATTCGAAATTTAAATTCGAATAATAATTCGAAATTCAAAATTCGTAACAGTTTTAGATGCCTATCCTTAGTTACTCTTTTATTCTATATATTGACTTCGGAAGATGAAAAGAGTTCTCTCAATGGAATAAAACCATCATTTTCAGAACACGAATTTAAAAACTTCGGAAAATTTAGTGAGTGGACAAATTTGCAAAGTTTAGATACAAAATATGGGATACATAAAGACAAAAACTTCAGATACGTATGTTATTAGTACATTCACCATATCAAATTTATCACACCCACCAGAAATAAAATAAGAAACAAATTAACAAGATCAGTCAGTAGGTGGAAACGCTAGAATATGAATGATTACTCCAGAATACACCAATACATATATTGAAACATTATCTCATTTAAAGAAACTGTTTTCATTAATATCGCTAGTGATTCATAATTAATATTTTCAAATGACAAAGTACAAAATGAACTTTATCCTACGGATATCGATTCTAAAATTTATAGCGACGCTTCCAAATTTCATAAAACAATTGTAAATGATAACGAATTTGCTACAAAGGGGAAAGAGAAACGTCGACAGAATGCCCTAAGCCCTATGCCCTTTTAGGAGATTTTACCCTTCTCATACGGGACAATTGATTTTCGGGAGGCAGCGATATAGCGGCGCTTGCGTTACATGCACATATTCTACATAGCTTGAATACTAATTTTACTCTTAGGTGGTTGTACATTCTCACAAAACTGTACAGTTGACCAATTAGAAAACATGTAAGATAAATAACAGTTTGTTTTTGTTTTGAGTGAGTCTACTCTAATTTTTGATATTTTGCCAACAATTTATAAACTTTAGACTTACACCTTTGAAACATCGACAAACACAATATAAATATGAACTACTCATTCAAATACAAATAGTAAATGACGAAGAAAACGAATAACTAGTAATTAATTAT